CTTCCCCTCACCTTATTTTCATTTCTTTTTTCATTTGTTTGCTTTTTTTTGTTTAGTATATTTGCCTTGCACTTTATTGTCACTTTTACACATTGTCTTTTCTTTTCAACCTGTTAAATTTTTTTGTCTAAAACCGCCTCCCCCAAATAGAAAAAAGTAGTGCTCGCTTGCAATAAACAAAAAACAAAGAAGAAATAATTATAAAACACAGGTGTAGCCCCTTCTCTTACGCATTCCATCCTTACGTTAATCTGTCTGTTCCTTTCTAATTTTTCCTTTCTTTTATTTCCTTGCATCCTCACTTCCCTTTTCTTTTTTCTACCTCTTTGCACCTTATTTTTCTATTCAACTAATAATTAACCGCATTTCTTTACCTGTCCGCCTCGCATACCCGTTTTACTGCGCTCCTTTTTATTATAATTACCTTATTCTCTTTATTTATTTCAGTTCAACTCATATATCGGCCATATATGACCTCCAGTAGTCGCGCAAAAGAGTATACGGAACTTGGCAACGCTCGGATAAAGCCCAAGGCAGCACGATTGCTTGGACTAGCTTCGCCCACAACGTCCATGGCATCCCGGTCAAGCGACACACTGGTGACAACTAGAAGCAGGAGCAGAAGTAAGGCTAGAAGCACCAGCATCAGTATCAGTATTGGCAGCGATGACGAGCTTTTGAAGCATGCTGAAGCACTGCACGAACCGTTGACCCCGCAGTCGCCTTTATCCTTAACAGCAGAGAGACACGTGTCAAAGTGGGTTCCAGAGTGGCCCGAGCCAGACAACGAGTATGTTGAGACAATGATGCGGCGGCGACCATCAATGGCTGCGTACAAGCACAATGTGCTCCAGGATTCCCAGGCACTGCAAATAGATGCTTTGGAAGATCCCTTGACTGTGTGGCAGCATAAGGCGCTGTTGCCGAGATCTGCCAGTGTTCCTAAAGGCGCAACCAACCAATGGGTTCGCAGATGCGGTTGGCAGTTACCGATGGACCCGTTGTTTGTAATGCAATGGGTTGTGTCGCTGATACTGTCAACGGGGTACTTTGCCTTTATCCGCCCGCTATCCTCTATAGCTAGTGGCAGTTCTACTTCCGATTCGTGGGTTTTTACGGCGGGCAACGCATTGGGCGCAGCGTTTATAATCACCGCCCATATTTTCAACATTACAACCTCTTGCATTAATCCGCAGGCACCCGAGGTGTTGGCGCAGGGCGTGGACCGCAACCTGTACTATAAGCAGACCTGGGGCACGCCGACTATTGATCCTATGACAACCACATGCCGTGTCTGCCGCGTCCACGCTAAACTGCTGACGCGGCACTGCAAGCGGTGCAATAAGTGCGTGGCAGGCCTGGATCACCACTGCAGGTGGCTCAATACATGTATTGGAACGCGCAACTACAGGCATTTTTTCTTATCCGTTGGCTGTGCCTTTGTAGGGTTGGCTTTTGTGCTTGCTTACTCCCTGCGCTTGGTCTACATTGCCGGGTTGAGAGAGTCCGACTTTGACATTATGGTTGGACAAATGTTTGGCTTAGTGAATAATGGGGATACGGTGTCAGCGCCAGGTATTGCTGTAATGTGTGGGTTGGCGTTTTATACGGTGATGACTGCTGCTTTTTTTGTTGCCATGGGCCAGCTGTTGGTTTTGCATGTGCGGCTATCTATTACTGGCACAACCACTATTGATTATGCCGCCCAAACACAGAATTCGAGCAAGGCGATGTGCGGAAAAGATAAGGATGAGGTTTTTAGTTATGACAGCCGGATGATTCCAATGACGTCTATTGGGAATTCTCAAGACACCCTTGCTTCGACTGGATTGCAGAGGTTTGATGGGATATGTGATTTGGACCCTGGGACTGTTAGTGAATCACGTATTGCAACTGGTCGCATCTGGCAGTACTTTGGCCGTTTTCAATCGAGCGCCAAGTATAGCAAGATTGGGACCGGTAATAGCCTGGTATGACAAGCTTGCGTTGCTAAAATTGATGTCAGCTGCCAATGTCGTATGACATTTTTACAATAATAAAATATTTATTTATTTAAATTCTGCTTGTCTCTGGGCCAGTTTTTTAATATTTTTACACGTGTGTATATGTATGTAACAAAAAAACCAATGGATATTGGGGTATAAAGTTTTTTAAAATAAAAATATCAGCAGATTTAAACAATTAGGACTTTTTGCTTTTTAGCGGCAAATTTTTATTTGTACAAATGTATCTTTGCTGCTACTTTTTGTTCTATTATGTATCATTTGTAAAAATAAATTTATTGATTATAATTGCACAGTGACTTGGTCAAGTGAGCGCACAATTTTTTGTGTTTTATTTTATATAAAAAACAATTTTAAAATAAATGAACATGGAGCAGCCTGCGACAAGTAAATAAATCCACAATCTCGGTTTACTCCACATTTCTCTTTTTCTTCCACAATTTTCAATACCCTATTATTTATTTATTATTTGGTTTTTTTGCACAAATTTTGACAACACATATTATTTTTGTTTTATTTAATGACTGTTTCGCAAAAAATATTAAACCTAATACTGTGCCATAAGCGTCGTAAATCAGATAGTACCGACACTGGTTCTACAGTTACTATCATATCTTCTCTAGCCGTAAATAACGGCACCACAGGTAGCTCTGAAAAAGACAAAGCAAAAGTACCGTTTTGCGACGATTTCACTCCTATTGAAATGATTCATTTGGCCCACCAATATCTTGATATTAATGATGATAGCCCTGCACATATAAAGGAAAACTCATATTATTTGATGTTTAATGGTGAAAAACTCAAAACCAATATAACTTGTACAAAACAAGGTGTAAAAGTGGGAAGTGTATTATTAATCCACAATGTTGATACAAATTTAAGCAAAAAACCGTCCACCTCCCAATGCGCTATTAAAAATCCCCTAGAAACAAGCCTTCATTGTCAACAGCAAAGAATAATAAATCATTCAAAAGCAAAACTGGAGGCAGGCCTCCATCTCTAACCAATTCAGTATCAACACATCAATCTGGTTCTATTATAACAGTTCATCCAAAAATATAGTTATTTAATTAAGATGCGCTCAGGTAACTTTTGCGGATATGTATCATTTTATGTTATATATACAGGACTATATCGCTATTAAGCATATTACCTCAAACCGAAAAGATTGTTAGAAACACCATACGTGCAGTAATATGGTATGTGGTCTACTGATGCTACAATATGTTTCTATATACAAGACCACCCTGATCATGACCTTTTAGAAAATCCCAAAAAAATCAACAAAATTATTAAAACCCTATAAAACATATTTTCTAGATTTTTCAATACTCAGTTTACTTTTTCTTATTTTTCTAGCAGTTTTAACGCTTATTCCAAGTCATATTTAAATAAAAAAAATATTATTGCATAACAATATAATTAATATTAATTAGGGTAGATAGGTTTTACAGACTTTGTTGGTTTTGAGCACTCGGTTAATTTAAATTTTAGCAGATGTTTTTTATTATTGTATAATGATATGTTTTGCTGCTGAATTATTGCATTAATGCTTAAAATTTAAAAAAAATGTAATGAAAAGCATAAAACAAAAATAAAAGAAAAAATGCATGTTTTTCAGGTGACTTGGTCAAGTGAACGCACAGTTTTTTTTTATAAAAAACAATTTTTAAAATAAATGAACACCGAGCAGCCTGTGACAAGTAAATAAATCCACAATCTCGGACTACTCCACATTTCTCTTTTTCTTCCACAATTTTCAATACCCTATTATTTATTTATTACTTGGTTTTTTGCACAAATTTTGACAACACGTATTATTTCTGTTATATTTACTGACTGTTTCACAAAAATGGTAAACCTACTAGAATGTTTAGGTTTTAAAAAGGATAAAGGGGACACGAATACCAACAATGTTGAATCTAGCAAAAAGCCACAGGGAAAGCCCAATTTCTGTAATATATTTAAAAAAAATCAACATTAAATCCACCTACTGCAAGAATTTGACATTAAGCCTAGGTGTATATGCGTCCCATGCCAATCTTGAACCTATCCCACCTTTATCCAGTTCAGTATCAAAACAGTCATTGAAATAAAGCTTTCATTAGACATTTCATCCATAGATAATGTTTGACTTTGAGTTATGCTAACTTTAAAAACATGGATAGAACGCTCATAGCCTGCCATACTCTTTATTTATTATATTTGAGCTTGAGGTTGGCTTGCACACATATTTTTATTTAAATTTATAGTATGCAGTAATTATTTTTTTGGTACTCTATTTACAGGAATACGGCCCAATTTATTTATGAACAATAAAATAATCAAAACAATGTGCACATACACTCAACCCGCCTCTTGTTGACAAGGCCTGTCATTACTCGTCCAACCCTGTCACTATTCGGACAACATGCTACTTGTTAGCAAGATTGTCACATTTCAACCTGGATTGTCGCTTGCCATCCATCCCCCCTCCCAATACGATTATTTAGTCGATGTGCATAAAAAAGCATACTTTTTACAAAGCTATTGGTTGATGGCGATCAACTGATTAACCAGTCTTGGCTATTCCAGCCAAACACACAATCATCAATAAGTCCACACAGTGACCAAATAAAGTAATATGTTTTTCAGATTTTTTTTCCAGTGCATAGCACTTATATATTCAATACATTTTTGTACATATAATTTTTTTATCTCTACGCGTTCACAGAACGCCTACTCTCCCAGAATTCAACAGCTCTTCACCACTCCCTCTCATAACACGACTTTGAAAATGGTTAGTTATGTGTGGAGTTATTCTCTCATTTTTTTTATTGCTTCAACTATTAAAAAAAATTGATTTTCACATTTTTCTATATAAATATATTTACTCTGTTAAAGTCCATGTTTAACAAATAAATCCCACACCCAATTTTTTTGGCGTTATTTTTCATATTTAAATAGACAATAACACATTATATTATATTAAATATAATAAAAACACACACTTGCTAACTACTCATTATCCAAATGCGCATTTAATTTTCTACACTCCTCCTCAACCTCTTCTCCAATAACCACTACTCTCACACCCTTCTCCCTCAACATCTGCACTCCGGTACATTTTACAAAATTATCTGGCTCCTTCACCCCAACAACCACCGAACCAATACCCGCTTCCAATATTCTCTCAACACACGGCTTGTTTCCGGACAATCTCTCCGAACACGGCTCCATAGTAGTATACATAACTAGATCTTTATAGTCCGGAATAGAGTTGGTGGTGGTAAGGAGCGTTTGGAGGGCGCATTGTTCTGCGTGGGTGTTGCCTGGGAATTGACGCGAGTAACCAGTGCTGAGGATTCGGCCGTGGGGGTCAGTTATGAGGGCTCCGACGTTGAAGGCGGTGGGCGTGGGCGTGCAGAGACGCGCTTGGGCAATGGCTTGGCGCATAAGAGTAACGTCCTTGGCGGTATATGAATCGATCATATTTGAATTTATTAAAAAGAAATTAGTTAATGGTGATGGCTTATTTTATTTTTTTATGTTTGAAAGGAAATATAATTTTTTATGGGGGGGGGGGGAATGGTTGGTTGGTTATTAATAAAGAGAACAAATATAAAAGACTATGGTTTAAAAATGTGCTTATGTTTGTGTTATTTGTTTTGTTTAAGAGTGTATTTTCCCAAGTTCCTCAACCACAGCGTCAAATTTTTTCCCCACACATCCCTCCCCGTCATTCCCACCTACTTCCGCCATATACTCGTAAAACGGATTACATACCAGAGCAATATACGCGGCATGCAGCTGCTGAAAGACCAATATAATCTCACCCTTCACACCCCCCACAGTGCCCCCACCTGCTGCCACCACCAATGATGATGTAGTGGCGGTAGGGTCTTCAGAGACTATAAGTACAAATCTGGCTCCGGTATTCAACACATAGCCGTAGATATTCAGTCCCTCAGTGGTTTGTAAGAGACCAAGGTAGAGATCAGATGAGACTTTGGGCGCGGGGTTAGCTAGGTGCTCGTCGATTAGGTCGCAGGAAGTGTGTGCCAAATAGGCGTATTTCATCGAGGGGTCGGGTGTCTGGTCTGTGGTCGGATCATAGGTATGGTGGTAAAGCGGGTTGCCATGGCGGTTAAGCACGAAAAGCGAATGCAGCTTCATTGGAATGATTTTTTTCTCTATTGTCAAAAAAAAGAGAAAAAAAGAGAAATTTTGATATTTTTATTTTTATAATAAAAGGCTTTGCTCGGCAAAAAAAAAATACTTGATTTGCATACGTCATAAGTACAATTTAGATATGGGGAAAAGTTCAAAACGCACGTGCTCCCCACCTAAAAGCTCTTCTTAATCATCCTCGCCCTCGGGGGTCTCGTAATTCTCATCGTACTCCTCCGGCACATCACTCTCGCTTTCCGCAACAAAGTCCTCATCCTCGCTGGACTCATCCTCGCTTCCACCAGCAACCCCTCCGCCCAACGAAACCTGTGGCTGCTGCTTCCCAAAGCCGCCTCCATTCTCGCGATCAGAGTCCACATCCATCCCCTTATAGCCCCCCGCCGCACCCGCCGTACCCAGCCCAGCACCGCCAGCACCGCCACCGGCCGCCTCACTGATGATCTTAAGCCCATGTTCAACAGCATACGCTTCGAGCGCAGCATGCTCCTCGCGGTTAATGCTGACAAACTGGTACTCCGGCGCCCCGACCATGTTTATCCTGAGGTCAAAGGTGCGCATTTTGTTCGAGCTCGAAGCCTCAACGCGCGAAAACACCACGCTGAGGATGTCCGCGTGCGGAATATAAATGGGCGGCTTGGGCGCGAACAGCAGACCCTTGTCCAGGGGGTACAGGGTGCCCTCGCTGGCCTTGAGCGAGGCCTTGAGGCCCTGGGACCCGTGGTATCCGCGGAAGTTCCCTCCCTCGATGAGCTTCTTGTCTGTCACGCCCTTGAACACATTGGCGACAATGCGGTAGAGTGGCTCGTCGTAGTGGGCGCGCAGGCGGCCCTCCAGCGCGCGCGCCTGGTCGTCGACCTGGAGATTAAGATCAACGGCGGACTCCTCGTCGCGCACGAACTGCAGCACAAGGTACGGGTAGCGGGTCTGGCCCTGGCGGATCGGCGGGTTGAGGCCGACGAGGAACATCATGTGCAGCTCGTCCGGCTTGCTGACGAGGAACAGCCGCTGGACGTTCTCGTACGGGATCTTGTAGTCGTAGGTTTTGCCGCGCAGGCGCAGGAAGTGCGAGAACATGTCGATGTGGTAGCGGCCGCGGGGGGTCAGGCAGAGGATCTCGGGGAACTGCACAATGCTGTCGCCGCTCACTTGGCCAAGGTCTGCGCGCTCCTTGATGGTATCGTGGAAGACCGATGCGGCGCTGACTTCGTCGTCGGCGTTGCTCTGCTCGTCGTTGTCCGACTGTCCGGCGGCGTCCTCTGGGCGCGCCGCCGCGGCTGCTGCTGCCAGCGTAGTGCCGGGCACGTAGAAGCGGATCTCCACCAGCTCGTCCGACGCCTTGCGCTTCGCAGCCCTGCCCCGAGGCGGCTGGAACTCGACGCTGACCTCGTTCTTGTTCGCCAGGTTTGTGTTGGACACGTAGCCCATTGGCAGGTCGAACATCGGGCGGTTGTCCACCTTGAAGGTCATGTTTGTGCCCTCAAAGTCGGTCTTGCCCCAGTTCCAGCCCTTCAAACTAATGTCACGCACTTCCAGCGTGAGCCCATGAAACAGCCTCTTGATGCCATCCCGCAGCGGCTCAAAGTCGTCTGCCGTAAATCCGTCCAGCTTATGCATGGTGCCGCTGCGCGTGTAGATCCGCAGCCCGTAGCCGCGCGCTACGCGCTGCCATTGGATGCGCCGCAGGTCCTCCTTTTGCAGCGCAAGCATGCCTGCTGGCAGGGTGAGCCCAGGCACCGTGATGCCCTGGAGAGCCTCAGCCTGGCCCTCGGCTGCCTTCCACCCGATCCCGGACGCGCCCATGCGCACCTGGCCTGTGGCCTTGCAGTACGGCTCCGTGGCGAGGTAGATTTCGCTGAACTGGAGTCGAGCCTCGCTCATGATTGAAGTTGGAAATTTGATTGCGAAATAAAGAGAGGGTGCGAATTCAAAATAAAATAAAATAAAATAAAATAAAATCGGCAGAATAAAATAGAACAGACGCGTATCGCCAAAAAAAAGGAAGACGACGAACAAAGCCAAGCCAAGCCAGGTCAGTGTTTTTTTTTTTTAATTTCTTCATTTGTGCGTGTATATTATATGTTTTGTGGAAAGTACCGCTTGATCCCTGATCCCCGATCCTTGATTTTCTGGCCTACCCCCGGGTACGATCAAGATTAACAGCGCCTTGTTTGTATGCCCCTCCCCCCTACTCCCTAAAGCTACACATGCGATAAAATAAACAGCTAAAAAAGAAAAGAAATAAAGCTAAAAAGCGCGCATAGAACGAAATGGCGCTTGCTCTCCATTTTCCATATCCGCTGGCCTTGGCCGTATTCTCCCTCCAGCATACACACAACTCGCGCATTGACTCAATCAGCCCTTTTGAATAAGTAATCCCGCAAATTCAGCACAAAATGGCCACCGCCTCATTACCAGCGACATCAGCCACAGCAGCGACGGCAGCGACGGCAGCGACGGCAGCGACGGCAGCGACACCGGCCACACCGGCCACACCGGCCACACCGGCCACAACAGCGACACCAGACACAGCAGCGACACCAGACACAGCAGCGACACCAGTCACAGCAGCGACACCAGTCACAGCAGCGACACCGGCCACACCGGCCACACCACCCACACCACCCACACCGGCCCCGCAGGGCATCCCCAGGGGCACCGCCCTCCAGGTGCACAAGCACACCACCCCCCACTACGACGCATTCGTGCAGGGCTTCCTCAGCCACGCCCACCCGCAGCCAACGGTCCAGCTGGCGCGCAAGCTCTGCGCAACCTGGCCGCTCCCCTCGCGCAGCGCGCCCAAAACGCTCAACATCGGCATCATGGACAGCTCGTTCAACCCGCCGCACTACTGCCACGGCGCCTACCTCGAGTGCCTGGGCACGCAGCAGATGCGCAGCCGCGCAGGCGACGCGCAGCTGCCCGAAATCACGGCCTACCTGCTGCTCCTGGGCGCGCGCAACGCAGACAAGCGGCTGGCCGACGCGTCGCTGGAGCAGCGCATGCGGATGGTCGACATGCTTGCGCACACGGTGGCCGTGGACAACGCCGCGGACACCTGGCACGTGTGGAAGACCAGGGAGCAGTTCCACGCGTCGGCGCTGCAGAACATGGCCTTCGGCATGGTCAGCGCGCCGCGCTTCGTCGACAAGTGCGAGGCCGTGCGCCGGGTGGCGCTGGCGGAGCTTGGGGACGAGGGGGCGCAGGGCGTCGACGTCAGGTGCTTCTTCGCCATGGGCTGGGACACCCTGACCCGCTTCTTCGACCCCAAGTACTACGGCGACTGCCAGGCCGAGGTCGCGCGCTTCTTCGCCATGGGCGGGCGCATCGCCTTTGCGCGCCGCGCAGGCTACGGCGGCGACGCCGACGTCGACGGCTTCTTCGCGAGTGCGCGGGTGGCGCCGTTCCTGCGGTTCATCTTCGAGCTGGACCTGCCCAAGCGCGTGCGCCACATCAGCTCGACCGACGTGCGGCTGGCCGTGCGCAACAGCACGATGGGCGTCCGGGACATCCCGCCGCGCATCCTCGACTTCATCAACAGCTCGCAGCTGTACCGCGACAAGAACGCCAAAAAGACGCGCAAGGAGATGGCGAGGCAGGTGGCGTCCGCGCCGCAGAGCAGAAAGCCCGCTGCCAGCTTAATTTAATTCAACTTGTTCGTTTATTAATCACCTTCTGTGCGCCAGCGTGGCGGATGCCTGGCCGCTGGCCAAAAGAACAACGTCGGCGACCACGCAGCGCGGGTGGCGCGACGCCGCGAAGACCACCGACTCGGCCACGTCGCCGGCCGTCATCGGCTCGATGCCGCGGTACACCTCGCCGGCGCGGTCGCGGTCGCCGCCGAACCGCACGACAGAAAACTCGGTCTCGACCATGCCCGGCCTGATGTCGGTAACCCTGATTGGCACGCCAATGGTCTCCGCACGCAGGGCCTCGGAGATCGCGTGCACGGCGCTCTTCGTCGCGCAGTACACGGATCCGCCCTGGTAGCCGGCCATGCCGGCAATCGACCCCATCATAATCACATGCCCGCTCCCACGCGCCTTCATCCCGCGCACAACCGCGCGCGTCACATACAAAAGGCCCTTGACGTTCGTATCGACCATTGCGTCGATGACGCTGTCCGCCACGTCGCTGACGTGGTCGACGCCCATGGCCAGCCCGGCGTTGTTGACAAGGACGTCGATGGATGACAGCGCTTCGGGAATGCTGCTGATCGCCTGGTCGACTGCGTGGCTGCTCTGCACGTCGAGGCCGGCCGTGTGCACCTGGACGGAGGGCCACATGGTGTGGATCTTCTGCTGCACTTCGGCGAGCTTGTCCTTGCGCCGCGCTGTCAGGATGACGTTGGCTCCGGCGGCCGCGAATTGGTAGGCGCAGGCCTCGCCAATGCCCGAGGAGGCTCCGGTAATGAGAACGTTCTTTCCGAGAAGGCGGCTGAGCATGGTTGGAAAAGAAGAAAAATAAAGAGCGAAAGCGTATAAAAAGCAGATTGAGGGTGCCAATGAGACAAATGCGATAAAGAAAAAGTGATCGCAACAAGATCACCCCCTCCCCCTCTTTTATATTGCTAGCAAGATGCTGCCCCCACCCTAATCCTGCTGCTCCGCCAAGGATTAGAAATCATTCGCACTACTTTTCTTATAGCTCAACTCACAAGCAAAGACGCAGCAGCTGATAGAACCTTCAATTCCAACAAAAACAGAAAATCATGTCAAAGATAGATTCTGCATGCGCTGGGAGCAATCGTATCATTGCTCATTTTTAAGCTTGAAATGCAAGGAATAGATATGGATGGCGCTTGCATGCATGGGGGGCATCATCCTTAAATCCATCCGTGCCTATTGATCGCATGTGTGGTTGGATGGACCTTCTATTTTCCTTCGGAAGCTGGGGAAATTTTTTTTTATATATACAAAATCTATATAGCTTGGGAGATATGTTTAAAAAATAGTATTGTTACGCAGCCCGAGGATATGGAGGTAGATGCTGAGGGCGAAAATCATGAGACAGATTCTCGTCAGCTCGCAGATGGATCTGATATGGGCCAAATTACAGGGGATCAAATTAGGCGCCACAATTGACATCCGGACATACTGCCTGTCCCGAAATGGATGTGCTGGGCGCAAGAATACAGACATGCCAATTATGCCATACCAGATACCCAGGCTACTTTCATAAGGACCAGTTCTTGAGAACGGAGCACACGACTGCCAGTGAGTGCTACAAAGACAAGGAGGTATATATAAGGCGAGGCCGGCGATAATAGCACTTTAGAAACACTAGTAATAAAAACCTTTATAATTTCACACCCATTCTTCTAACACTATCACAATAGCGCTCCTCACCCCCCCTCTCTTACATAACAATGAGATGAGTTAAAAATTGGAGAAATGTCGGTGCTGGCCAGGGTTGCCTTTATACATAAATTGATACATTTGCTTTTGACTGCAATTTGCCCTTCACATTATTGTGAAGTAGTAATATTTATTAATACAGCATTTGCATAGCTCTGTTGTTTTATCATGCGGGCGCGCGCAGTCTGACAGGTTCGAATGATTGTTTGTAAAAAGAAAGACACGTTTTCATTTATTTTTGTACTTTACAAATGCGCAACGCACGACACACAAATGCAAACAAGATTATGCAGATGGGGGATAAAGCGCTTGGCCAGCGCAAATTAAACAAAACTGTTTAGTATGTGCGCTAAGTGATAACATATACAAAAGTACCCAGGGCCTTGAAGATCCAAGCAAGCGCGTGTGCTTAGCCACACATTAACACAACACAGAAAAAACAAGTGCTGGCGCAGATTACTGGGTACCAACAAACCGCTTGCAAAGCATGGTGTGTCTCGCAACAACACAGTTGTCGTTGTAAATGAAAAATAAACTGTTGATAAATTTTAAACCCAATGCTTGCAATACACCTCAGCATCCGGCTTATGCGACTAACTGCAGCAATAACAACAGTAGAACACTATTACACTATTTGTCTGTACATTTTATATTTTGTTTAACCACTATTTAACTTGTCCTGAAATGTGCCACATTCCTTAGTTTAAGACTAGGAAATTGTACATTTGTTTTTGTAAATTATTAACCAGCACCCGGAACCCAAGTGCAGTTTTAAATAAGCAAAAAAGCAGCCAGGACACACAGAGCCATTGCATAGTGTCCGTAGTTATTTATTCCACTGGCAGAGCTCAAACGTGATTTGGACATCTTGCTTTCAACCTCCGAGCACGAGTTTCCGCACAGCGCAAGAGAGTTGATCTTCTGTCCCGGGCTGATGTCGAACGGATTATACGAGTTCTCGCAGGTGACATCTCCGGGCTTGCCCTTATTGTTCAAAACATCAATCTTGTCTATCCATGTGTACTGTTTCTGCTCAATGATGTACTTGTACGACTTGATGTTCAGATTTTTGCCAATGCTGTCGTACTTGGCTCTAACGTCCAAAAACATTTTCAGCCACTCTATTTCATCGACGGTGTATCCATTAATCTTGAGGTTGCTTTTAGAGTCGCCTGTCTTGTTGCTGGTGACCTTCTTTTTGGCCTCCTTGATGATGCCGCCCAGGCTGCCTGCACTGTCGCTTGAGCCGCGAGAAACAGCGGTGTCATAAAAGGCCGCTAGACTGACGCTGAGCTTAAGTCCAAGTGTTTTGGCCTGCATCTGAGACGGAGTGAAATACAGATTGTCGTAGACCGTGCCCTGTGCCGAAATAAACTTTGTGTTCAAAGCAAGGGCCTTCCACGCATCGCAAAAGCCTTCTAGCCCGGCAATAGAGCCATCCCTGTTTTCTGCTCGTTCGGCAAGCACAGTGTTGTACTTTGAAAACTCGTCATTTCCGCCCGTGAGGTTGTGGTAGGCCTGGATCACCTGCCAGGTGTCGCCAGCGGCAGTGTTAAAATTTGCCACGCCAGACGAGTAGCCACTGCCGTTGGTGTCTAGCTCGCAGTTGCCATAGGGTGACTTAATGTCGCCAAACTGAAAGACGTTGGTCAGCTGGAAGGCCAGGTTCTTTGGGCAGTCGGCAAGCTCGGCGTTGACAGAGCTCAGCAAGAAGAGAGAGGCAATGGCAAGGGCAGGTAGCCGTACAATATTTGAGAGCATGATGCAAATGTATGGAATTGTAATAGTTGTAAATAAAATGAAAAAGAGAGATGAATGTGCCAATGCTTGGGATGCAGCTTCTCTTTTCATTTTTTTAAAGGATAGGTTGCAGCTTTCTTTTTTCGCAGTATTCTTTCATTGCAATGAAACCTTTCGAGACTTTTGTAATAAATGCAGCAAGCATCATCCTTTGAACAAAAGAAACTACCAACGCACCCAGTGCTGGTTGGCCACGCAGCCCTATGATATTTACTCGTCAACTATTAGGATATAAACTAGCTGTTTCTCTATGTTATTCTGTTTATATTATTCCATGTCTTTGCACAAATAAAAATAACAGCAACCTCGTGTTTTGTCCAGTGCATTACGCACAAAGTGGAATGCGGAGCACCGAGCAACGCTCGACACAACGCGCCATTGCGTGGTGCAAGTAAATAAAGCCCCCCACAATTTAAAGTTGTGTGTGTTGCTTGCAACAAAACAATTGCGAACAATTTGCGTTGTAATATTTATTATAAAATACAGGCATTGAATGCAAATAAGCCAAACGGCATGTCCGCTGTAGGTGAACACGTTTGCTGGCTCAAACATCGGCGTTCTGTCCTTGGTCAACGTGCGCGAGCCATACACGAGGGGGCTGCAAGGGTCTTCAGAGGGGAAGGCGCCATGGTAGGCGTCATACAGCTGATGGTATATGTTGCCAATAGCACGGGCAACCTCGCCAGCGGTGCCTATCGCGCATGTGCCGTCGGGCATGACAACAAAACCTTCGCAAAGCATTGGGAACTTATTTTCCATGTCGGGGAAGACCGTCTCACACCGTTCCTTGTGCTCGTCATAATGATTGGCGCCCCAATTAAATAACGTAGCAAGTTCGTGAACATGCAGCGAGTGCGCGTTACCGCGAAGCTGCTGGCCGAGCAGCAGCTGGCGCTTGAGAGTCACGGCGTCTTCCGCCATAAGCCTACCACGCGGAGCCTCGGGCCAGCCTTTCTAAATTGACAATTGTAAACAAACAAACAAACAAACAAATACAATACACTTTTAGTAGAGTAGTTTAATGTGTGCAAAAAACATACCAAAGCAAATACCACCAATAAAACTCGTGTGTGGGCAGTGTATTTGCAAACATACCTCAGAAGCTACCTCTGTGTAAGACTGCGGCCCAGCATTTTTGGCGGCCGGCGCGCCCAATCCGCTGTTGTTGGCGACAGTGCTGTTGTCCATCGTAAATACGCGTTTAGAGAAATAAAAATAAAAATAGAGAAGGCGTGTTTGAAATAAGAAAAAAAAAGCAACAGAAAGTTTTTGCTGCGAGTCGTAGTGAACAAGAGAAATAAGGAATAGAAAGCTTTCACTGCGAGTCGTAGTGAACAAGAGGGATAAAAAAGCAAAGCAGAAAACAATATGCGAGTGCTTAAAAGTACAAGGTAAAGTTGAGAGTTAAAGTAAGCGAGAGAGCGTAAAAAACGGAGAGATGGATGGATGAAAGAGCAAGAGTGCAAAGTAGAATATGTCAGCATTCAAAGGCTGGGAGTATTTCAATTGAAAATGTCTAGAAAAAAGATGGTTTTCTTCGCAGCCGCCTTGGTCAGTTTATATGGAAATAAGGCCACTGGGAGGAATGCGAGTGTGAGAGGACGAGCAAGGGAGGGGTTGGAATTAAGGGAGAAAATATTTTATCGAGAGCGTTGACGAGGCAAGCAGCCAAGCAGCCAAGCAGCAACACACAAATCCAACAATGAAACACGAGGATATGCTGATATGCATGCTGATCAGGGTTTTTATTCTTGAACAAGCCTCCTAATAGAGCAATTGAATTCGGCATTTGTATATCGATTGGGATGATTACCGCGTGGAAAAGCAACATGCAATACCGGATCAACACTAACTGCATTGATCAATTGTTCAGCATGCATGCGGTACCATTGAATACGCCTTTTCCATTCCCCATTTAGAAAACGGAATGCACAAATCAAAAATGTAAATGTGCGAGTATTTAATTTGCAACATGAGCTTTGCAAAATGATATTATTGCTGGCAAAAGTGGGATGTGGCCAAGCCCCATAAATGAATGAATATAAACGAGCGTTTCCATTTATTCCGTCCAAATAAATATGTGCAAAGTAAAATATATATGGACTGGACAGATTGTGAAAAATAGCCTAAAATATAATATCGGGGGTTGAATTTAATTTGCTTCGTTAAGCGTAATCACAGCAACCGAAATGTCATCACGGTAGCGGCGTGAAACCGGTGGTGGGATGGCCAACATGTAGCGAATAATCTCATCCCTGCGATTTCCATTGCCGTCGGTAGACAACGCAGCCCGAATCAAATGCGTAGCCGCATTCTTATCTTTGGTAACCAGGCCGCTGGCTGGATCCCTGGCCTCGTACCACTGAGCAACAACTTGTACAATATCGGCGTCGGCCATCTGGTCATAGAGCCCATCTGACGCCACCACAATAAATCGATCGTCCTTTCCAAGCTTGTGCCGGACAATGACGGGATGCGCCGTGACATATGGCGGCGACAGAAGATCAGGCGGCGACGTTGCATACTTGTGACCGTTGGCCAGCAGCTGCGGGAACAGCGCACGCTGAACACCAATCGGCCACTTGTAACGGGAGTCACCAAATGCACGCGTGGGCATGAGACCGCCCAATATGCGACCAGACCTTATGACTGTTTCGCCTGGATGTTCGCGGGCCAAACGGCTCAGCTCATTTTGGTTCCCTGCCGTGTGGTCCTGGCTGAGCCGCACAGCCTTCCATGTGCCATTGGCGAGACGCACGCCGAGAAGCGCGCGGCTGTCGCCAGTGTTGGCCACCACGACCTCGTTTGCGTCGGTGTCAACCAGAGCAACCAGACCACAGCTGCCAGAGACGGCGGGGCCCAGAAGACGGCTCATCTGCGATGGGTCCGCTAGACGCTGGTACTCGGCCAGCGAAGCATGCACCAGCTCATTATCCATCGCCATGAATGCGGCTGTCAGAGCCATCGGAACCGTGTCCCACCCGCGTCCGACATCACGCTGCAGCCTCACCACAGCATCCGAAAGCGGGGCGCTGATCGTCTTGTTGGTGCCCTCGATTTCCTGTAGCGCCGCGTCAATCATCGGCTGCATGCGCGCGGCCAATTGCTCAGCACACATAAACCCGGCATGCCCGTCGAACACGCCCACCATGTATCGTGACCCGCCATGTATGTCACCAGTCGCCAAGTAGTCCTCGATGGGCTCATTGGACGACACCTGGTCAGTATCTATGCGCAAGGCTCCATTGATTGCCTGCCATGATTTTTCATTGGCACGCAGTACAGCGTCGACCTCGTCGTCCGTGAGAATGGGCAGGCGGTTGACCTCCTTGCGCCTCTCAACTTTTGTCATTCCCTCTAAGCGCTTCTGTGCGTCGCTGCGCTTGGTTGCTACTGATTGAAGCGCAGTCTCTGTTGGTGTCGCTACTGTAGTCAGTGCAACTGCAGGCACTCCAGATGGCTGGCGCATAAAGCTGTATCCAGTGACGCTGAGGAGAGCAAGCACGCCGGCAATAGCAATGGTCAGCGACCGCTTCGACCCGGGTGTCTTGTTTCCGAGCTCTGTCTCCTTTTCGCCATCACCGGCGGGTTTCTGCGACTCGGGGGTAACTGCAGTGCTGTTAAATTCCCTGTATCGCTGTCTAAGTGTCTCGGACGCCATGTTTGCCAATTTAAACTGCTTGAAGAGAATGGAAGTGTGGGTGTGTCTGGCCAGTGGTTGAGTTAAACACCGTTGCCCCGCGGTTATGCGAAAGAGTATCTGTGCAGAATTCATCCACCTTAGAATGGTAAAAAAAGGGTGTAGAATAAAAACTAGAAAATTGAATGAGAGAAAGAGGGACAAAAGAAGCGTAAATAAAAATGTAAAAGGAGGAAAGTGAGGCGGTAGGAACGCAAAGGCAAAATTGATGGAAAGGATTCTAAAGCGCACGATTTGCACTCGACATAATCTTGACGCGCAATACGGCGTAAAAATTTCCCCCGAAAAACGTTGCATTTGCATGGGCCTACTCCACACATATTTTAATTTGATCTGTTTGTTAATCACCGATTGCATTTTTTTGTATTTTTGGGTTGACGTCCACCACACAATGGTAAAAGAAAAGAAGTCCAATTATTTTATTCGTCTTGCAATTCTCAGTTCTCAGTTCAATTAATTTCTGTTTAATTTAATTCTATATAAACATATATATACATAAAAAGTGCCCAAAATGGTTCCTATCACAAAACCAAAAAGGTCCTCTCCCGAGGTGGTTGTCTTTGACGCGTCGTCCTTGACCAAATCAACAGCCAAAACAGCCAGCAAGGCACAGTACAAGAGCTTCATGTCGGCCAAAATAACCAAAATCAACGCCAAGCCGCCCAAGATCAGCAAGGAAGCGCAGAAGGAGGAGCAAGAGTCGCGCCAGAACGACCGTGAACTGAACGACCTTCTCGAAGGAAAGCTGATGATCGAGAAGCTTCATGAATCACAGCTCACCGGAAAGGACCGTCACAACCACAATACCCAGAAGCTTATGAAGCTTGGAATGAAGATCAAAACCAAGAGCAACCTTCCAGCAGATCAGTTTTTCAACGCCCAGCGGAATCGCGAGAAGCGGGCAGCAGATTCCATAAAGGATGCCAAGGACAGGGGCGTGTTGAATGCCACGGTCAAGCGCGAGTTGGAGGTCAAGTATTTGGGCAAAGCCCAAGAGACCGAGCAGAGAAAGCCCAAGCTCAAGATGGGTGATCGCGGATTGAGAATCGGAGAAGGGAAGTTTAAGGACGGCGTGCTTCACATATCTAAAAGCCATATTGACCGCGTTAACGGGTCGGGAAAGACCCCCGGCAGAGTGGGCAAGTCGAAGGGCGGCAAGGGCAAGAGCAAAGGAAAGAACAATTCTGGCGGTAACAAACACGGCAGAAAGCGCCGCTAAACATTGCATGGACGCGCGCACTCATTCACTCGCGCTTATAAAATGTATGCACAATATAATTACCCCCTGGCTTGTATTTTGTTTGTAACCCTATGTAAAGTTTTCTATTTTAAAGGCTTTGCGACCGAATGGTTGCTCCTTTATGGAATATTTTTTCAGTTGAAAGAAAAAAATAGTTGCAGTCAACAAACAATTTTTGTTTGCTCTTTGAAGGTTTTAGTCTAAAGAAACTTGTGCACCATTGTGTTGAACACATGTTGGAGGGAGTAGCAAAGGCTAAAACTAGAAATAAGGTATGTGGTGTTACATTCGCTTTTCTTCATCTTTATTCTCACTGTCTTAGTATTATTTTTATAATTAAAATATACTTTTTAGCATGCTTTCAACCATTAGGCGTCTATCTGCTGTAGCTGTGGTTACATTTTTTCTGTCAAGCTTTGTCGACGCCGGTTTATCTGGTTGCCCGAAGAATTTGGCTATCCAGTTGACCAACATCTTTCAAATTGGCGACATCAAGTTCCAGTACAGCAACTGTGAGCTGGACAACGAAGGCTACGGTTACGCATCTGGTATTGCAAATTTTTGTACCGGCACCAGCGACACTTGGCCTGTAATAATGGCCTACCACTACCTTACGGGTGGAAACGACGAGTTTTCAAAGTACGACTCTGTGCTGGCCAAAAGAGCAGAAGACAAGGACGGCTCAGTTGTTGGGCTTGAGGGCTTTTGTGAGGTATGGCAGAATGCTTCGACAAACAAACATTTTATTACCGCGCAAGACGCGGTCTATGATGAGCTTTACTTCAAGCCATCCCAAATATTTGCTGATGAGCTTGGGCTAAAGCTCAGTGTCAGCCAGGCTGCCATGTATGACACTGCCATTTTACGGGGTGCTGGTGACTATGTAGGCACCTTGGGCGGCATCATCAAGGAAACCAATGAAAAAGTGACTGGTAACAAGCAAGGCGACTCCAAAAGCAGCCTCAGGATTAATGACTATACCGTCGACGAAATAGAGTGGCTGAATATGTTTTTGGACGTTAGGGCCAATTACGACAATATTGGGGCAGCTGTAAACATCAAGTCGTACAAGTACATCATTGAGCAGAAAGAGTACGCTTGGAAACACAATATTAGCATTCTTGAGAATGGAGGTCAGCCTGGAAATATCACCTGTGACAACTCTTATAATTCACAATCGGAGCAAATTGCCCAACCACTTGTCGCGTGTGGAAACTCGTGCTCAGAGCTTGAAAGCAGCAAGTACAAATCATTTTCCAGCTCTGCCAGTGGAATAAATAGCTACGGACCGTATCTACTGGCTCTGGGTGGTCTGGCAGCCCTTTTCAATTATTAAATTTTAATTTTTTGAAAGTGCTGGTATATAAAACGACAAGAGTATAACGGTACTTTGCAAATATTGTCAAACGGCGGCTGCATGTTGCTTTTAATTGTATTTGTTTGTTAATTAAATATATTGATCATAAATTATCTAGTAAAAAAGTATTAATATAAGAATCATTATGTTAAAAATACAATAAAACGGATTTTAATGATGTGTTAGTGTGTAGCTGCTAATGTTGTTTTTGTTTTGGCTACCTGCACTATATGAATTTAATGTTAGGATTTATTGCAAATATTGTGTTTAAAATTTATTAACAGTTCATTGTAATTACCAATAGTAATTGTGTCGTTGTGAGACACACCTTGCTCCACGAGCGTCTTGCTCATGTCTAATAATCTGCGCCTGCACAGACTTTTTCTGTTTTGTCTAAATATGTGACTAAGCACGGGCGCTTCCCTGCTTAAACCATTAGAGCTGTTATTACCCTTGCAAATAGTTTATATTAGCGTGCGTATAGTACAGTCTTTGGTCACTCGTATTCTGAGTTTTGCCATTTGTGCTGGACAATGTATAGTTAATGATATAATATATAAGTAATAACAAAAAATTAAATGATCATAATGTTGGTATTATATGTGGAAGGGCCGCCTAAATTTCAATATAAATATTTCACAATTTTTCATTTACTCGCACATTTTAATTTGCAATGGAAAAAGCTCTTTTCCACAATCTGCATAATTTTGTTTTATATTTGTGTCATGCGTTGCACATTTATAAAATGCGAAAATAAATGAAAACGTGGCTATTTTATAAAGACATACATGGTGTCATGCTCGTTGCTTTTTAACGTCCATGGCAAAGAAAGCTGCTAAGATGCGCAGTGAAAATGTCAAGTGAGACTGATTTAATTTGCAGTACAAATATTAATATCCCGTTCATAGAACATTCATATTCTAACAGCCTCTGTCGTTTAGGGATGTGCTGGGCGCAAGAATACAGACATGCCAATTATGCCATATCAGAGACCCAGGTTACTTTCATAAGGACCAGTTCTCGTGAACGGAGCACACAACTGCCAGTGAGTGCCACAGAGATAAAGGTACATATATAAGGCGAGATCGGCGATAATAGCACTTTAGAAACACTCGTAATAAAAACCTTTATAATTTCACACCCAATTTTTAACACTATTACAGTAGTGCTCCCCGCCCCCCTCTTACATAACAAACAGGTAGCAGTAAACATTTATTGCATTGTAAAAGAATATCTCACCACCAATACTTTTTATTATTATCATTCCTTTATTCTAATTTTGTTTTAAATCCTATAAATAGACCAAACCCCAAATTTAGCCCCTGTTAGTTTTGTGACAACCACATGGGGCACACATGTTTTCTTTTTGTTGTTTATTTTTATATCAGTAAATGAAGAGCGCCAAAGAAACAAAAGAAACAATTTGTCTTTTAAATATATGAGGGCTATATATAAATATATTTATATTTATAGAAAAATGAATATCAATAGCGAGCGTGGAATACTAAATTGTGTTTGATTGGATATTCAAGATTAGGCGTTATTTCATAAAAATGAAAGATGTGCACAAGCAGAGTACTTGCATGTTAAAAATTTTTGTGCTTTTTTAGTATGGTAAACAGTAGAAATATCAATTTTGTTAATCATATAAAAGGCGACTTTGAAAACACCCAAATAATCCACTTTCTATTATACTGCTTTTACTCACAATATTTACCAATCTTTTAGTTTTTCATTAAGCATGCTTCTCACTGTTAAACGCCTGCCTGTACTGGCCATTGCCACATTCTTCTTCTCAAGCTCCGCTAATGCCTGACTTAATGTATGTGAAGTCAATCTGACCTATCAGCTAACCAACATCTTCCAAACTGGAAACCACTTGTTCCAGTACGATAGTTGTCATGTGGACACCTCGGGGAGCAGCATATCATCTGGTATTGTAAACTTCAACACCCGTTCAGGGGATACCTGGGATGTCATTAGTGCCTATCACGATGCAAAAAATGAGATAAATGATTTTTCCATATATGGCAATGCCTTGCAAGAAAAGGCTGCATCAAACAGTGGTTCAATATCTGGTCTTGAGGGATTCTGTGACGCGTGGAAGGCATCCGTCAAAGATGTCTTGTTTAGAAATGCGCAGGATCTTCTCTTTAACAACTTGTATGTGCTCCCGTCTCAACTTGAAGCCAATAAGCTTGGTATCCAGCATTCTGTCAGTATGGCAGCCTTGTATGACACTGGTGTGTCACTTGGGGCAGGCGAGGGCTCATCAAGTCTAGGTGGCATTATTAAAGCAACCAACAAGAAAGTGACCAAAAATATTCCTGGAAAATAAAATAGTACTATCATAGTTAATGGCTACTCTGTTGACGAAATTGAATGGCTAAATATGTTCCTCAAGGTCAGAGAAAGTAAAGATAGCCACGGTAAGAAAATCAACATCAAGTCTTTCAAAAGTATTATTAGTGCAGAACGATATAATTGGAGCGAAGATGGTATAAATGGTTGGGTTGATATTCTTGACAACGAAGGACAGCCTAAGCAGCTCACATGTGAGGGCTCATTCCGCCCGTCAGAGTACAATTAAATAATAAACTAGTTTTTCTTGCAGCGCGGCAATCTCTAAACTTATATATCCATAAACCCATAATCATTAGAATCATTATAAAACCCCACAAACTTTTTTTTACAAACTTTTTTTTAGGTTACCTTTTACAATTTTCGGTATAAGCCTCTAATGTTCATAAATGTATCAATAAAGTAATGCTGCGCAATCCGAGGATATGGAAGTGAATGTTGAGGCTGAAAATCGTGAAATGAGTCTCCATCCACATGCCGATTGATAGGGCATAGGTGGGACTATGTGAGGGCAAATCAGGGGATACAATAATTACATCCGGATATGCTCCCCGCTTTATAACGTACACACACGAGCGCGCATATGCAAAGAGCACAACATTACCACTCCAAGCTACTGGTCTGCTCGCAGAAGAACCAATTCTTGCCAACGGAGTGTGCAACTGAAAAGTGCACAACAAAGGCAACGCGACACATAAATATGTCGAATACACCTACAGTTCTACTTTTGATTCCCTTAATAATAAAAACTATAACAAAACTCATACATACTTTTTAACACTAGGTGACTAGTGCCCCCATCGAAATCATAACACTACTTTATCAATAACCTTAATTAGTTTATTAAATTTGTCTTGTTCATTGATTTTCAATGTCTAAAGTCACAAAAAATAGTGTCACACCACTTTGTTATAATAAGAGGGTGTGTGTGTGGAGCACTACGATTTAGTATTAAAAGGTGGGGTGTCAGTTTATAGAGGTTTTTATTATCAATGGAATCAAAAGTATAACTGAGGCCGACCTCGTCTTATATATGCCTCGTTGCCTTTATTGTGCACTTCATTGGTTGTGCACTCCGTTGGCGAGAACTGGTTCTTCCCTAGGCAGACTGGTGTCTTGGCATATCAAGGTTATAATCTTTGCATGTACACATCCGTACGTGTACATTATTAAACGGGGGCATATCAAGGTGTCATTGTTATGTCCCCTGATTTAATCCTACATAGTAACATCTATGCCCTGTCAATCGGCATGTTGATGAAAACCCGTTTCACGATCCTCAACCTCGACATCCACTTCCATATTATCAGACTGCTCAACAACTTGAAATTTAAAGTAAAATAACGTTGAATAAAAAATGTATTATAAAATTAAGTGGAAAAGTGCAGTTAAAAATTTTAGTAGCAAGTAATATTAGCACAATTCTGTTGTTTTCGCCGCTTTGCAGTTGTTTGTTGGATAAATGGAATGTTGGATTTTGTTGCAAACATTGGGTTTAAACTTTATCAACACCCTATTATAGCTACCAATAATAATTGTGTCGTTGTGAGACACACCTTGCTCCACGAGCGTCTTGCTCATGTCTAATAATCTGCGCCTGCACAGACTTTTTCTGTTTTGTCTAAATATGTGACTAAGCACGGGCGCTTGCCTGCCTAAACCATTAGAGTTGTTATTACCCTTGAAAATAGCTTCTATTAGCGTGCGTGTAGTACAGTCTTTGTTCACTTGTATTCTGAGTTTTGCCATTTGTGCTAGTTGATGTATAGCTGGTGAAATAAAATATAACGAGTTTTAATAAATAATAAACAGGAAGCAACAATAAAAATGAAAAATGAAATAATATATAATTTGTTTATATATTAGCGTTGCGCTATTTATATATTGTGCAAAGTCATTATTTTGGGTTCAACGTGTCAAGCCCTACTTCATCATGCCATGCGCTCAATAAAGAAAAGGAAAACAAAGTGCTTTGTATACAAAAAAAGCATGCTGCACACTGTAGAAAGCTGAATAGAAACATTCGCACAATAAAAGGCATTTTAATAGAACAGATTGGAAAAACAATAAAGCAAATAAACGAATATACAAAAGAAAATTGAATGAATGAATAGATTTTCAACGGAGAAAAAACTAGTAAACAATAAAAAAACGAACCCAATAAGCCATTAAATAGTTTTTTGGCAGCCTTTTATTAGTACCTAACGCGCGGTTTGCTCTCGTCGTGGTCCATGTCTTCAAACAAGCTCTCGCGGCCAGCCAAAATGCGGTCACTAAAATGGTGGTTAGAGTCGCGATGCAGAGCCTCATCGGCCCTAACGGCCAAAACAACATCGCGCAAAGTAGCCGACTCGGGGTCCAAATTCCAATACGCCACGGCAATTTCTGGCGCTTTCACGTTCTTAATCCTGCCAGCATCAATCTCCCTTATAAAGTGAGTATACGAGGTAACAGCCTCTTCCTCCAAGTAGCCGACGACCCGATGGGCGGTGCGCGGACTGACCATATACAGCAGCGAGAAGATTGCAAAGAATCCGGTCTGCACGGTGGCAATTAGGGCTCGCTCCCACATGACGGGCTTGCCGACCTCCATCCAGGTCATCAGGTGCATGCGCTCGTTCTCGGCCTCATGCAGAAGATGGCCAATCCACCCGCCGTCGTAGCGCATGCCCTGGAGCGATTTGATATGCCGAATCAGCGCGCCAACCATTCCGGGCACCGCGGCAATGACCTCCAGCATGACAGAGCGGTGGAGATACTTGTTGCGAAAAAGCAGGTCCGTTGGTTTGCGCGCGCTCTTGACTGCCCACAGTGCAACCTTGTCGCTGAACCTATTGGGGACCCGGTGCTTGGTGATTCCAATGTCTAGCTCCTCCAGGTCGGACGACTTCCACTTACGGTCCATAGTCTCAGCGCGCATGGGCTCGGGGAACAAGGGCGAGCGCAGTTCCGGCGGCATTTCGTTTAGGTACGAGTCGACTTGCGGCTTGGGCCCCTTGGATTCGGCCTCTTTGCTGGCAGCAGCGGACTTGTCAGCCTTGATAATTTTGGCCATGTACTCTTGGGCTTTGAGCGTAGTCTTGATGCCGAATGCGCGTATCTGCAGGCCTGCAGCCGGTCTGCCATATAAGGCAGCAGCAGCATGAATACTGATCGGACGGACCGATGAAGCAGCAGTGCGGAGCAGCAAGGACGAGGATGAATAAATGGCGATGGGCATAGTGATTGTGGTCTATATTTGTTGTGCGTAGAACAATTTGTGAGATGAGACGAAAAAATATTTAATGATAAGTGAAAAAAATGTTATTTGCGAGAGAGAGAGAGAGAGAAAAACAAAGGTTCAACTATATACTAGCATCTCCGCCAGGGTCAATTTTTTTTGGCTGTGATAAATCTTTAGAAAGTATTGCCGCCATATGGACACATATTATTAACGGTGGAAAATATAACATGACTCGTGGAGCCCACCGGAATACCAGTCAAAATTGCGCTTTCTAATTTATTTTTACCCGAAAGTACCAGCAGGATTACGCATATCAGTCATAACATATTCATTTTTGTGTTATATCCGGAATTCGCCGAACGCCGTTGCCATTTGAACATTGTCTGTTCACGGTCAGCTGTGATTACAGTAAGTAATGGCCTCGTGCAAAAAGCTCAGTCACTCACTCGCTTGATTGATTGGACAAAAATAATTCAAATTTGTATGTGTGTAAATACACAATAATATTAGCTCAAAACAAGAAATCTTTTATAACTTTTATCGCAGCAAGTATAGTTCAGCAACAGCAGCTAAGAATAAAACGATCTAATCTAATTTTATCTCAAACGATGCTCCGCACCCGCATCCGCCGCTCGCTTGCGGATTAGCCACAACCAAAAACGCCTGGCCAATAAGCCTATCCTGCCAATCAATAGTCGCCCCGCGCACCAGCGGCAACGAGAAATCATCAATGACCATTTTGGCGCCGCTCCGGTCCAAAATCACATCGTTTACCTCTGGCTCCTCGGTCATGTCCAGCATATACGAGAATCCGTAGCAGCCACCGGAATCCACCCGCAAGCGCAAATACTGTGTCTTTTGGCGCTTCTCCGATAGGTACTTTAGCCGCTCGATCGCACTATCTGTTAGTGTGACCGAGTCAGATGCACTACTGCTGCTGCTGCTGCTTCTGGTGTTATTGGCTATGGTAGTGGCAGGTTTGGTGTCCGCTGGTGCTAGGTCGTTGGCCGGTTGTTTGGTCTGTTTTCCGTAGTCTTGTATTTTATTTTCAATGTCTTTGGACTCGATGTCGCTCAGCTTGCGCAGATTGTATTTGGTAGCATCGCTGATATGTCTTATTATTGTCCGTTGTACGGGTGTTGTTGAGATGGCCTCCGCCCATTGTTTATGTGCAGAGCTTGCTCTGAAAATACTGCCTTGTAGAATCCGCCTACATTGTGGCCACAGGCACGCCATACCGGTGTTCATTGTGATAAGTTAAAGGTGTGGAAATAAATATATAAATATATAGAGAAATATGAAATTCAATAGAATAGAAATAGAAATAAAAACGGGAAATGAATTTCAGGAAAGAAAGGACGGAAAAAAATTCGGTGGGTGGGAGGTATTTTTTTTATCAGTAACTTGCCTGCCGGAGAAATCGCTAAAGATTGAAAAATGCGCTCGTTCACACGATTAATCATACTAGTATTCTTTTTTGATCTGCACTCCGCATTCCGAATTAAAGATCAAGCTGATACGATCACAAACAGCAAGATAATAATGTCAAACTGCCCTTTAAAAAAATTCAAGCGCATTCATTTCTTTTTTATTTTGTACTCTCAATTTTAATCAGTGTTTATAATTCTTTTTTCTACACTTGTACTTTTCTCTCTCTTATTAATCGAATATATTTACAATCAGCGGATTCGTTATAAACACAAACACAAACACAAACATACACACTTGTACACAGTTTTTGGAATGGCGCCTATCTTCACCACACTTGTTGGCGGTACAGTCGGTCTGATTACGGGAATGTACTCAATGGGTCTGCGGGGACGCACAGTCGTGAAGCGTAAGTAGGAGAATGAACAAGAGGAGAGGATAGGGGAGAGACAAACGAAGGAGCTTTTAATATATTTATATATGAGGTTGTGGGTTGTACATTAAAGCGCGCACAAACTGAAACTGGTATTAAGAATGTTTTTTCTTTTACTTTTTTTCTTCTTATTTTGTAGCTCACCTTAGCTATGCGATTTTCACGGCAGCCGGTTGTTACATTGGGTTCAAGTACTATGAGTTTAAGCAGTACGAGGGTCAGCTTATTGAGAAGCGCAGGGAATATCTGTTGGAGAAGCGTGCGCAGCGTCAGGCAGAGGCCAGCAGCTGAGTTCTTTTTATTAATGTTTCGATCTGTTCAATCTTAGTTTTATTCCAAACCCTCAATGTAGCTGGAATAATATCGAAAGCAAGTAAAACAAATTTATGAAATATATACCACACACAAAGATACAAAAATGAGACATGACCGATTCTATTGTTTTTATTTTTATTTTTATTTTTATTTTTGTCAACGTTGGCTGAGTGAGCTGAGCAGGTCGAGCCATAGAGCCGACGAGCCATTTTATTTCTCATCACATTTTAAATACTCGAAAGAAGAAAATGGAAAAGGCAGTTGTGGCCTTCGAAAAAAAAGGCTGGCGACGACGTACTGCGGCGCGATTGGATAGACTCAAAAAGGCAACCAAAATAATGACGAGAGAGAGAATGAAAATAAGTGTTTGTTGGTCTCAAAGACTGAAAAAGCTGCTGCTGTATGCCTCGCCAAAAAAAAACCGCGACCATTTGCAACTCCTTTTTTATTTCCTATACAATATTTTACATATTAATAATATTCTATTATCTTTTACAAAACAAAAAAATACACTTTGCTTTCTTTATTTCCATTGTTTTCATTTAACGCAATCCATCTCTATTCACATCTATAATCTTAAACTCCAACTAGAAAAATGGATAAGCAGGAGCAGCAGTCAGGAACAAACATTCCGGGTGGCAATTTCATTATAGATGCGCCCAAGCAGCTTGTCAAGGAGGCGACTTGGATTCTGCGCCGGTGCGCCAAACCCAACAGAAAGGAGTACCTGAAGATCGTGCAGGCGGTGGTCATGGGATTTTTGGTCATGGGCTTTGTTGGATACTTCACTAAGCTCATTCACATCCCCATCAACAACATCATCGTTGGTGGTGCGTAATCACGTTTTTCTGTTGGAATGATAACGAGGCTCGGTGCGGAGCAGTTTTTTTATAACGTGTTGAAAGATGACACGTGAGTATAGTTTCCTTTTTGTTTTGTTTCATTATACTTTTTTTTTTTTTTTTTTTTTTTTTGCACAGCAACAATACTACTATTGCTCTACAGAGAGAGTAAAAAAATGGAGATATTATCAATGTGTGGTCACAGACAAAATAAATCGAAAAGAGATAAAGTGAGTCCTTTTTGGCATAGTATGTAGAGCGTGGCTTTTCAAAAAATAAAGACAAGGGAATATTTATCCATTATGCGTTAAAAGCGTATGCCAAAAAAGAAAACCAAGTGATGGAGAAATTGTTGGGGAAAATTTTTTCATGCTAGCAAAAAGAAGAAAAAAAATCGGGCTCTACAGGTTGCACACTTATTCTCCCCCCTTTTTTCTTTTCTTTTCTTTCTTTTTTGAATTTTTGTTTATTTCAATCGCCTCTTTTTATATATAGTTGCATTTATTAATCGCAATTAAGCCATTAGTATATAATGAAGAACAAGGGAAAAGTACGTCCAACAGTCGCTGATTTCGAAGAAAACATATGGCAAAGCCGCTGGATTTCTCAATCGATAGCAATTTAAAAAAGCACGCCTTAATTAAAAACTAACTTTTTTTCTTATTCTTTTTTCTTTTTAATAGGGAGGAAAAACACGCCGTCGCGGAAAGAACGACACAGAGGGAGAGAAACGCGAGCTGAACTTTAAGGATGACGAGCAGGAGTACGCATATGTGACAAAGATGCTCGGGCACGGACACCTCCAAGCCACCAGCATGACGGGAGAAATCCTCCGCGTCAGCATTCGCGGTAAGCTGCGCAAGAAGGTGTGGATTACGCCCGGAAACCTTGTTCTGGTGTCTGCTCGTGAGTTTGAGACTGTCAAGGAGGACACGGTGAGGAACGTCGACCTTATTCTCAAGTATAACGATGACGAGGAGGCGCAGCTTAAGCGGTACGGGGAGATCCCTGATGTCAAGGTTCAGCGGGATACGGATGGTGGTGCGGATGATGGCGATGAGGGCAATATTGAGTTTAACGAGGATTACGATTCGGAGAATGGCGATGATGACGATAGCGATGTTGAGGTGTACCGCGACTATGATCTGACCAACATCGACATTGACGATATTTAAATATTTAAGTATTTATTTCAAATAAAGGCAATTTTTAGACTCGACGATTTTTTATACGATACATTTATTTATTTATTTATTTATTTATTTGGAACCATCCCTCTATGTACAAAAGTGCTTTTCGTTCATTTATGAGTGTGTTGAAAAGAGAAAAGCGCAGCAAGAGGGGAAATAGATCCATTGAATGCGCGGGAGAATAACACCGAAGAAAATAAAATAAAAGCTTTGAAAAAGCTCTTTCGGTCACAGACAGTTTGGCAGTTGGTCGATTGCGTTTTTAATTTTTAATTTTTAATTTTTAATTTTTGTTTCCTTTTCAGCTCTCAAGTAGTGGTGCGGAACCAGCAAGCCATCTTGTATCACACCCCGTACCATCCCCAATCTCCCAAAGTACTAAATGAAGGTTCAACTTGAGTGCATGTGAGGACGGGAGGAGAGAGAGAGAGTGAGTGTGGTTTTTTCTCCCTCTTTTTTTTCCCCACTAATGCGTGTTTTGGGCTGGGAAAATGACTCATGATTTTTAACACTTGCTTTTCCCCGATTTCCTTTTCCTCTCACTACCGGCCTTTTTGCTTAGCGCAATGCTACTTCCGACTAAGTCACCAAGCCGATCCCTAAATGCTATAAAGCGTCGGTGATGTGGACGACGAACGCATTCACAAAGGTTACTTTTTTTTTTTTTGCGGCATTCATCGTTTGGTTCCTTCCTAAAACAAAATTTCGTCTTTTTTCATTATCAGTGTCTAGACCACGATAACTACTAGAACTTTTTCTTCTTTTTTCCCACACAAACCTTCTCTTCTTTCTCTTTCTCTTTCTCTTTTATTTTCATTATCATCTCCTTTTTTTAATACATTATAATGTTCAGACCCTTTGCACTCAAAAGCTTGTTTACTTCGTCAATGTCTCGTCTCGCGCCCACGATTGTCTCTTCCACCAGCACAGGATCATCAGTCCGCACTCTGCACTACGCAGCGGCGCTCAGCACTTTGCCGCGCGATCTGATCAGCCTCAACGATTACAGCGCCGAGCAAATCGCCGCCCTCGTTGAATCCGCCGCCGAGTTCAAGCGCAAGACCAAGCACGAAGGACAATCATTCCACCCGGACGCTCCCCTCCGCGGCCAATCAATCGCCCTACTCTTCTCCAAACGGTCCACGCGCACCCGCGTCGCCAGCGAAACCTCCATCGCATATCTCGGCGGGCACGCGATGTTCCTCGGAAAGGAGGATATCCAGCTGGGCGTCAATGAGTCATTGCGCGATAGCGCAGAGGTGATTTCCAGCATGGTCTCGGGGATTTTTGCGCGCGTCGGCGCGCATAGCGAAATCACCGCCCTGGCGGAGCACTCCTCGGTGCCGGTGCTCAACGCGCTGTGCGACGAGAACCACCCGACGCAGATCCTCGCCGACCTGCTGACGATCTGGGAAATCTACGGCGCGCGGCGGCCCCGCGCACAATCAATGCTCGAGGTCTTCCGCGGGCTGCGCGTTGCCTGGGTCGGCGACGCCAACAACGTCGTCTACGAGATGCTCGCGGCCATGCCCAAGTGTGGTCTCGACATGAGCGTGTGCACGCCGGCAAAGTACCCGGTGCCGGAGGCTGTGCGCATGCAGGCGGATGCCGATGCCAAGGCAGCCAATGTCCAGGTTGAGTTTTTCACGGACCCGAAGCTGGCGGTTAAGGATGCGGATATCATTGTTACGGACACTTGGGTGAGCATGGGCCAGGAGGCTGAGAAGGCGCAGAGGATGAGCGACTTTGCGGGATACCAGGTGTCGATGGAGATGGCAGAGAGCGGCGGCGCGAAGCGCGACTGGACATTCATGCACTGCCTGCCGCGCAAGCCCGAGGAAGTCACCGATGAGGTCTTCTACTCGGATCGCTCGGTCGTGTTCCAGGAGGCGGAGAACCGCAAGTGGACGATTCTGGCGGCGTTTGCGGCGCTGCTGGCCAGGCGGAATTGAGATAGAATTACAAGCATTAAAGAATTCGCTTTATTAAATAATATCAGATTAGATTAATGGTTTAGGCGCCTATGTTTTGGCCGGGCGTCGCTCTCGGCGATATTTTGTCAATGGGGGAACAGCGCCGAGAGCGGGCGGCGTGCGAGGCGGCTCTGCTGGTCGCGGACGACGCGCGCCGGGCGGCCGGGCTCCACTGGCATCTGCGCAAAGCCATCGGCGGGCCCAGCGTCCGCCGCCGCCGCCGCCACCGCCATCTGCGCAAAAGCCCCACCAACATCCATCTCCGCAGCAGAAATAGCAGCAGAAGCAGAACCAGAGCCGAAAGCGAGAGCGAGAGCAGGGCCAGGGCCAGGGCCAGGGCCAGGGCCAGGGCCAGGGCCAGGACCAGGACCAGGACCAGAACCAGAACCAGAACCAGAACCAGAACCAGAACCAGAACCAGGGCCAGGGCCAGGACCAGAACCAGAACCAGAACCAGGGCCAGGGCCAGGGCCAGGACCAGAACCAGAACCAGGACCAGGACCGCCGCCGCCACCACCACCCGCCGCTCCGCGCTGCGCTGCAATCTGCATAACAACCTCCCCAGCGGGCAAATACTCCGCTGCGCGTCGGCCCAGAGTATGCAGCGAAGGGGACATCTTCGGCGCCAAAACGCCACTCTGCTGCGGCCCGCCGGCGCCCAGACACACCGCACCCAGCGACCCCGTCCGGCGCGCGCCAGCGACGCTGCCGCTGCACCTGACACACGTGCGATGGCGGTCGCGGTCGACCTTGGAGCAGCGGTAGCAGATGACCAGGCCGCAGGCGCGGCAATGGTGGCGCCGCACCATCATCGAAAAGGCCGTCTTCTGGCACACCATGCACACGGCCGTCTCGGCGTCTGGCACCCAGTAGACGCCGCCCTGCGCCGAGTTGCGCGACCGCTGCGGCGTCCCCAGCGCGTGCGCAGCGCCGGGCTGCGCGCCGGCAATTGAGCTGCGGCCGCGCGACAGCAGCAGCGGCCGCGGCGGGCGGTCGACGAAATCCTCCTCGTCCAGCCGCAGGTCCTGCAGCACGGCGCCCAGCCGCCGCTGCGTCTCGACGGCCAGCGCCGCCCACGCGCGCGCGCCGCCGGCAAAGCGCAGCCGCACGACGGCGCCGTCGCTGCCGTCGGCCAGGTCCACCACGTGGTCGTCGCCCGCCACCACGCGCGCGTCGTCCAGCTCGACGGCGCGCAGCGGCTGGCCGGGCGCGCTGAGCACCACGGCGTCGGTGCACAGCAGCACGGCGACGCGCGGCGCCGGCGGGCGGCCCGGCGCCTCCATGGCCGCGTGCGTCTCGTGCACGACGCGGCGCAGGTCGTTGAGCAGCGGGAAGGCCGCGTCCGCCGCATGCTCGGCCTGCGCCAGCCTGTGCGCCGACGCGAACGGCTGGCCGGACGCCAGGCAGCGGCGCGCGTACCACCTGCGCCGCAGCGCCTCCTCCCAGTACGCGGCCTCGCCGTCCTGCGCCGGGCCCTGCGCCGCAGCGGCCGAGCGCGCGGACCCGACGGACCCGACGGACCCGACGGACCCGGCGCTCGGGCGGTGCAGCCGCGCGTACGGCAGCCCGGCGCCGGCCATGCGCTCGTCCTCGCCGGAGCTGCTGCCGGACCCGCTGCTGCTCGGGTCGTCGAGCACGATGCGGCCGCCGCGGATCTCCACCGACTTCATCGTGAGCGCGTCCGAGAGCTCGTCGCGCGTGGTGCGCGTGGCCTGCGACCGCGTGCGCTGGGGCGGCCTGCGCGCGCCGTTGATCTGCGGCATCGACGCGCGCGGCCGCACCGCGTGCGCTTGGCCCTGCTGGCCCTGCGGCGGCACCGGCGGCAGCCTGCCCGCCATCAGCATAAGCTGCCTCGCCAGCCGCGCCGACCCGGCCAGCGACGCGCCCGGGCCCAGGCCCCCGGCGCCGGCGCCGGCGCCAGCCCCCGACGCGGAGCCGGCCGGCGAGTGCAGTGTGGGCGCGGCCTGGC